GCAGCTCAGCTTGGGTGCAGTTCACTGGCCCATGTGGGAATTGAACCAGTGACCCTGTTGCTCAGAGCTTGCACTCTTGAGCAAGCTCTTAACCAACTGAGCCATTCGGCCATCTCTAAATCACTATTTTTTCACATGTAATTTTAGACCAGAGTAAGTTCTATTTATGTATCTTCTTGTACATTTTTTAGCATATTGATCTGTTTTTCACAATTTTATGACATTTTTCTTAAAAAATTTTTTTTTCATGGTTCTTTTTTTTATTTATTTTTTTATTGTTAGTTTCAGGTGTACAGAACAANCCCCCATCTATTGCCCTCCCACCCCCGATATCATGCTTATCTATTACAATTCCATTGAATCCGTTCCCGCTCTCTACTCCATGTCCCGAGACTATATGTATATATGTAATTATAGTTGACATACAGTATTATTCAACATCAGTTTCAGAAATACAAAAATTTTTAATTAAAGTTTATTGGGGTGACAATTATTAGTAAAGTACATAGATTTCAGGTATACAATTCTGTAATACATCCTCTATATATCACATTGTGTATTCACCACCCAGAGTCAGTTGTCTTTCCATCACCATATATTTGATCCCCTTTATCATTATCTACCACTCCCCTTACTTTCTGGTAACCACTAATCTATTGTTTGTGTCTATGAGTTTTTGTTTCTTTGTTTGTTTGTTTTCTTCTTTTGTTGTTTCCAGTTTTATATACCACATATCAGTGAAATCATATGGTCCTTGACTTTTTCTGACTTATTTTGCTTAGCATAATAATCTCAAGATCCATCCATGTAGTCTATTTAATGTTCAGCCAACAACCTATTCTGCTGTGCTATTTGTGATAACAGTAAGTTCAATGTAACCTAAGTGTGAATTTATTAAAAATACTTTGGTACACTATATCCATAAGTTAGATATTTTCCAGTGCCTTAAAATTATATGGAAATGTATTTGTTGAAATGGAAATGTGTTCATAATATGCAGTGAGTAAAAAAAGCAAAATACAAAACAGTATTATGGTATAGTTCCATATAATTTTCCCAGAATAGTTCCTGGCATAACTATTAATAGTGCTTTTACTGTCAAATGTCCTCTTTGAGACAGTAATCAAGTGCACTACTCCTATAATTTTGATAAACCTTAGAGGCATACCTCAGAGATATTGCTGGTTCAGTTCCTGACCACCACAATAAAGTGAGTCACACTAAATTTATGATTTCCCAGTGCATATAAAAGTTATGTTTACACTATACTGTAGTCTATTAAGTATGCAGTAGTACTGTGTCTAAAACAACAATGAAAATACTAAATTAAAAAACATTTTATTGCTAAAAAATGCTAATCATCATCTGGGATTTCAGTGAGTCATAATCTTTTTGCTGGTGCAGGGTCTTGCCTTCATGTTGATGGCTGCTGACTGATCAGGGTGGTGATTACTGAGCATTGGGGCAGCTGTGGCAATTTCTTAAAATAAGACAACAATGAAGCTTGTTGCATCAATTGACTCTTCCTTTCATGAATGATTTCTATGTAGTATGCAATGCTTTTTTATAGTATTTTACCCACAGTAGAGCTATTTTCAAAATTGGAGTCAATCCTTTATCAACTAGGTTTATGTAAAAGTCTAAATCCTTTGTTGTCATTTCAACGATCTTCACAGCATCTTCACCAGGAGTAGATTCCATCACAAGAAACCACTTACTTTATTGTCCATAGGAAACAACTCCTCATCCATTAGGTTTATTATGAGCTTACAGCAATTCAGTCACATTTTCAGGCTCCACTTTTAATTCTAGTTCTCTTGCTATTTCCACATCTGTAGTTACACATGTGGTGTAATGAAGTCCTGAACCCCTCAAACTCATCCATGAGGGTTGGAATCAACTTCATCCAAACTCCTGTTAATGTTGATATGCTGACCTCTTCCTGTGAGTCGTAAGTGTTCATAGTAGCATCTGGAGTTGTGAATCCTTTTCAGAAGGCTTTCAACTTACTTTGTGCAGATCCATCAGAGGAATCACTCACTGTCTGTGACAGCTGTAGCCCTATGAGATATACTTCTTAAATAATAAGACTTGAAAGTTGAAATTAGTTCTTGATCAATGGGCTGCAGAATGGATGTTGTGTTAGCAGGTATGAAAACATTAATCTTGCTGTACATCTCCATCAGAGTTTTTGGGTGACTAGGTGCATTGTCAATGAGAAGTAATATTTTGAAAAGAATCTCTTTTTTTGAGCAATAGGTCTCAATGGTGGGCTTAAAATATTCAGTAAACCATGTTGTAAACAGATGTACTACAATCCAGACTTTGTTTGTCCATTCATACAGCACAGGCAGAGTAGATTTCATGTAATTCTTAAGGGCCCTAGGATTTTTGAAATGCTAACTGAGCATTGGCTTCAACTTAAAGTCACCAGCTGCATTAGCCCATAAAAAGAGAACCTGTTGTTTGAAGCTAGGTATTAACTCCTCTCTAGCTATGAAAGTCTTAAATGGCACCTTTTTTCAATATAAGGCTGTTTCATCTACACTGAGAATCTGTTGTTTACTCTAGCCACCTTCATTCACTATCTTAGCTAGACCTTGTGGATAACTTGCTGCAGCTCCTCCATCAGCACTTGCTGCTTCACTTTTATGTTATGGAAATGGCTTCTTTCCTTAAGCTCATGAACCAACCCCTGCTAGCTTCAAACTTTTCTTCTGCAGCCTCCTCACATCTCACAGCCTTCATAGAATTAAAGAGAGTTAGGGCCTTGCTCTGGGTTAGGATTACACTTAAGAGAATGTTGTGGCTGGTTTGATCTTCTATCCAGACCAGTGAAACATTGTCCATATGAGCAGTAAGGCTGTTTCTCCTTCTTATCATTCATGTATTCACTAGAGTAGCAATTTTCATTTATTTCTTCAAGAACTTTTCCTTTGCATTCACAGATTAGCTAACTGTTTGGCACATAAGGCCTAGCTTTCAGCCTGTCTCAGTTTTCAACATACCTTTTTCACTAAGCTTAATCGTTTCTAGCTTTTGATTCAAAGTTGGAGATGTACAACTCTTCCTTTCACTTGGACACTTAGAGGCTACTGTAGTGTTCTTAGTTGGACTAATTTCAATATTGTTTTGCCTCAGGGAATAGGGAGGCCCAAGGAGAAGGAGAGAGATAGAGGAAGGGCCAGTCAGAGCAGTCAAAATACACACATTTAACAGATTAACTTCACTGTCTTACATGGGTGCAGTTCATGGCACCCCAAAAGAATTACAAACATAGCATCAAAGATCACTGATTGTAGATCACCATAACAAATATAATAATAGAAAAGTTTGAAATATTGTGAGAATTACTAAAATGTGACACAAACACAAAATGAGCAAATAGTGTCAATAGACATGATCGATGTAAAGTTGCCACAAACCTTCAGTTTGTAAAAGCACAATAAAGGAACAAAGTGCAATAAAATGGAGCACAATAAAATTAGGTATGCTTGTACATTCCCTGTGCCTGGAACAACAAGACCAGTGTGAGAATCTAAAAAAGCTAACGCAGTCCAAGGCCCAAGAACACCTGACTAATGAAATAACTTTTGTCATGAGCCAGAAGAAGCTGTTGAATTAAGATCCGTGTGCAAGTTTTTTGGTGGAGAAAGTATCATGAGTGTTTTCATGAGTCAGCCAGCATGATCTTGGATCTTCTTTAATAGGATTTGTGCCCTGGGCTAGTCCTAAGGGACTACCCAAAATAGAGATGTATCTGTGTAGATCATGGAAATGACAAGAGAGAGAGGGGTCCAGCAAAAGCCTGCCAAGAGTCATAAAAGTTCCCCAAAGTGAGTCTGTTTAACCATTTGCTAAGCTGAGAATATGAAGCCACCAGCCATACAAAAATTGTCCTATCTCTTATTTCTTCCTCCCTCCACACACCTCTTACCCTTCAACCCTTGTTAAAATGGAACTAAACAACAATAGTGAGTGATGGAAGAGGTGAGCAGGGAAATAATTAAGTGGGGAAAAAAGAGAATAGAGTGGGAGAAAAGACTAGCATGGAGAGAGTCGAGTTGGGGGAAGGGTCTACAAGAAGAGAGTAGAATGAGGGAAGAGGCAGGCAGGGACAGAGAAGAAGGACTATGACTCTGTAACAGACCCAGAGGATGGGAAAGGGATTAACTTTGGAGTTTTGACTATTATATATAACTAAACATTTTAATTACTAAATAGAGACTTTGTGACTTAATGTAACAGTAAGAGTATCTGTTATATAAGAATTAGAGGAAAAGTCCTGTGACTTGCCCAAATCTTCATCTAGAAACAGAGGAAGAATGCCCCCATTAAATAAAGTTTAAAGTAGTAGGAAACTGAAATGGAATTTTGTTTTTATAGCAGTCCATGAGTCATGCATATTCCAAATATGGTTTACATTTATATTTGTGTGAGCATAGGAAAAATATGACAAGGTAGGCCCAAACTATTAACAATTATTATTTTTAAGGGGTAGAATTCTTTCTTTTTCCACATTGTTTGAATATGTTACTATAAGCAAGTGTTCCTTTTATTATTTTAAACAAAAGATTAAAAATCGGAAGAAAATACTTTTTAAACAAGTCGTTGTCATTACTGTAGAATAGTCCATAGATAGACCTGTCTTCGATAAATACAGTCTTTCCTCCAGTATCTCCCACCTTTGAACACAGATCATTCTCTGATATTTCTTTTTCTCCTTTCCATTTCCTTCTTTTTTTCCTTTTAACCATAGATACTCTTGGATTATCTCTTTATGATTACCACACGTTTAAAAATTTTCCCCAGTCTACTGCTTCTTGTCATCTTTTTATAGTCTTTCCACTTGTTACATGGACATATTTTAAAACTCTCAGTGCCACATATGCCTTGCTCCCATTACTGTTAATTTCATTTAGTAATTCATTATGCAACAATTTCTTTTTCAAAACATAGAGAATACTGCAAAGTATTTGTATGTTCTGAATTACTTTTAGATGGGGAAAATAGACCTGAACTAAAAAAATCAACTCCAAACCAGAATATTTCTGATGAAAATCAAACCAATGACATGATAATGGAGAGACTAACAGGAGACAGTTTCTGGTACTCCATCCTAGGAGGACTCTGGGATTTTGATTACCAGTTAGAGTTTAACCAAGAAAACCAGCAGAGACATTTAGGACAAGTATATTTCACCCAAAAAAAGATCACACAGGAGAGAAGCCTTGAATGTAATAGATTTGGGGAAAACTATAAAATGAACTCAAACCTTATTATGAATCAGAGAATTTCTTCAATCAAAATTCCCCTTAATTCAGACACACGTGGAAATAGCATCAAACATAATTCAGAATTGATAGACTATCAGGGAAACTATGTAAGAGAGAATACTTATGAATATAATGAATGTGGAAAAATCTTCAGTCAGCATATTCTTCTTACTAATCATGTCCATACTGAAGAGAAACCCAGTGCATGTAGGACAGCCTTCAGCCACAACTCATCTTTTACTCAACCTCAAATAGTCCTTACAGGAGAGAAGCCCTATAAGTGTGATGAATGTGGGAAAAGATTCAGCCAGAGGATACATCTTATTCAACATCAGAGAATTCATACAGGAGAAAAACCTTTTATATGCAATGAATGTGGGAAAGCCTTCCGTCAACATTCATCCTTTACTCAACACCTGAGAATTCATACTGGAGAAAAGCCCTATAAATGTAATCAATGTGGTAAAGCTTTTAGCCGTATCACATCCCTTACTGAACATCATAGACTTCATACTGGAGAGAAACCTTATGAATGTAGTTTTTGTGGGAAAGCCTTTAGCCAGAGGACACATCTTAATCAACATGAGAGGACTCATACAGGAGAGAAGCCCTATAAATGTAATGAATGTGCAAAAGCCTTTAGCCAGAGTGCACACCTTAATCAACATAGGAAAATCCATACTAGGGAGAAATTATGTGAATACAATAAATGTAAGAAAGCCTTAAGCCACAGTCCTTCACTTACACAGCAGCACCTTACTCATGGGGTGGGGAATCATGTGAATATATAAATGTAGGAAATTTTTCTCAGACCTTTCCATCCCATTCAATATCAAATTTCACAGTGGAGAGAAAGTGTGTAAACAAACATTTAATGCACAGAAAACAAATTTAGACCTTTAGTAGCATATTTTGTTCACAAGAGAGGTTATAAATAGTGAAAATAATTTATGTCATGTTCCAAATCTGATACAAAATGTTTTTTAATGACCAGAAATTCTGTAAGCAATAACTTGTAATTATTCACCTGTAAGTTTTATGGTATAAAAATGTTTAATTACATAAACATTAATTAATCAAAGCAATGATATAGTGTACAGTCACATAAACTTGAAATAAACAGAAAAGAGCAACATTTCTCAAAAATGAGTCATTTGTATGTTCCCTTTGCAGATTTTACCATATTTAGTGTTAATATTTTTCTTTACAGGGACTCAATTTTTAGCCTTATCCTAGGAAATCTCATTTATGGAAATTGAGTGTTATATGTTAATTATGTTTGTTCTAATTTCCATCAAAATAAATATATAACTTTGAAATTTAAAATATCCATTGATGGGCCAGCCAAGTGGCTCAATTGGTTAAGAGCTCGCTCAAGAGTGCGAGCTCTGAGCAACAGTGGTTCAATTCCCGGCCCAAGTTGAACTGCTGCTGAGCTGCCAACAGGTGGCAGGATGGCTCAGCTAAAAAAAAAAAAGAAAAAGAAAAAAAATATCCATTGATGTATCACCTAAATGTCTGTACCATTATTTGAGAAGCAATGTGATAGGATATGGCAACATTCTGTTGTTTGCTAGCAGTCCTTCAATTATTCTTAAGTACATTAATGTCCCATACATCAGTGGACGTGAAATGTTTCATAAAATCCTGAGTTACTCTAGTCAAGGAGGACTAATAGTATCTTGTATTCAAATGTTTGTATATTGGAGATCCATTTTTAGGGTGGCTCAGTTCTGGAAGGATCTCTTCACCAAAAGGAGCTACATTCATTTACCATAAGGAAACAGTATGTAGGGCACTCAGATTTCAGGAAGAAAGGTATGTATTAAAGAAGTAATGATTAATTACAACTAGTAAAGGCTTTGATCAAAGCCTTTTGCAACCTGAAAAAAAAAACACCTCAATATTCCACAAAAAGTAATAAGGGCTCCAATACAAGGCAGAGTATCTCAGGACCAGTGAAAAACAAGAACAATATGAGATTTTCAGAAGAGGATCAGCAGAATATGGACAACCCAGAAAAGAAGTGTCTGGACTAAACCAGACTACCATTGGCCAAGGATTTTCACCAATTCTTCATAAATAGGAATTGTAAATTAGAAGCTATTATATATATGATTATATAATATCATATAACATAAATGATTATGCTTATGTTAATTGTACAGTAAACTATATCATTCTGGTGTGAATTCTCATGTCCTTTGTTCCCTTCAAAATGTTCAAAGTTAAGGAGTGAACCATAAATATATATTAATTACATCAAAATACTGGTGCTTGAGGGCCGGCCGAGTGGCTCAGTTGGTTAAGAGCTCGCTCAAGAGTTTGAGCTCTGAGCAACAGCAGTTCGAGTCCAGCCCGAGCTGAGCAGCCGCTGAGCTGCCAACAGGTAGCAGGATGGCTCAGCTAAAAAAAAAAAAAATACTGGTGCTTGGAGGAGTAGTATTCATTCAAAACCTGTTTGTTATGACATGTCTGTCTAGGAGGGTAAGACATTACCTTTGCACATATATTATTTCATTTGCTCCATCCAACCAGGTGTTATTGTCCTCCTTTTATGAAAAGAGATACTTAAGCCTATACATAATAATAAATGATTTATCATTCAGTGTTTCTCAGAAATGTCACTAAAATATGGATTATCTTACTCCTAACCCAGTAGATACAAACAGTGCCTAGAACAGTGTTTTATAACATTCTGAAAACATTTGATAAATATATTAAAATTAACAAAATGAAAAATTACTGCTCAACACCAAAATCTGTGTGACTATTTTTCAGAACCTCAGAATATTAAAGAAACATCGTGTTAACAGATTCTTATGTACACAGGACTTCTGTGCTTGGACAAAAATACTCATTATTATTTGTATTTTGATTAGTGTTCAATTTATTAATTTTAGAAACCAACTGTCATTCTTTTTTCTTTTTAATTAAAGTTTATTTGGGTGACAATGGTTAGTAAAGTTACATAGGTTTCAAGTGTACAATTCTGTAATACATCATCTATATATTACATTGTATGTTCACCACCCAGAGTCAGTTCTCCTTCCATCACTATATATTTGATCCATTTACCCTCATCTACCACCCCTTCTCCCTTTACCCTCTAGTAACCACTAAATTATTGTCTATGTCTATCAGTTTTTGATTCTTTGTTTGTTTTGTTCTTTTGTTGTTTCCAGTTTTATATACCACATATCAGTGAAATCATAAGGTTCTCTACTTTTTCTGCCTTACTTATTTTGCTTAGCACAATAATCTCAAGATCCATCCATGTTGTCACAAATGGCACTATTTCATTTTTTCTGATGGCAGAATAGTATTCAGTTGTGTATATATACCACATCTTTTTTATCCAATCATCTATTGAAGGACACTTGGGTTGTTTTGATGTCTTGGTCACCATAAATAAAGCTGCAATGAACATTGAGCACATATATTTTTATGGATAATTTGTTTTCAGATTTTTTGGGTGGATACCCAGGAGAGGGATTGCTGGGTAGTAATTCTATTCTTAATTTTTTGAGGAATCTCCACATTGCCTACCACAGCGGCTGCACCAATCTGCATTTCCACCAACAGTGTATGATGGTTCCTTTTTCTCCACAGCCTTTCCAACACTTGTTATTATTTGTCTTATTGATGATAGTCATTATAACTGATGTGAGGTGATATTTCATTGTTGTATTTATTTGCATTTCTCTGATGATTAGTGATGTTGAGCATTTTTTCATATGTCTATTGGCCATTTGTATGTCCTCTTTGGAGAAATGTCTATTCAGGTCCTGTACCCATTTTAGAGAAAACCCTAAAGACTCCACCATAAAGCTGTTAGAAACAATAAATGAATACAGTAAAGTTGCCAGCTACAAAATCAATGTACAAAAATCCGTTGCATTCCTATATACTAACAATGAAATCTCAAAAAGAAATTTAAAAACAAAACACGATTCATTTTGCAATTGCAACAAGAAGAATAAAATACCTAGGAATAAACTTAACGAAGGATGTGAAAGACCTATGCACTGAAAACTCTAAGGCATTTTTAAAAGAAGTTGAACAAGACACAAAGAAATGGAAAGACATTCTATGTTCATGAATTAGAAGAATAAACATTAAATGGCCATATTACCCAAAACAATATACAGATTTGATGCAATCCCCATCAAAATCCCATTGGCATTTTTTAAAGAAATGGAGGAAAAAGTCTTCCTATTTCTTGATAAGGCTCAATATTTAGCATGATTATTTTGGCTTGCCTAGCACCCTATGTTTATTCTTAACTGATTAAACAGGAATGTACAATACATGTGCACATATTTAGCAAGAAAAGATAATATGTGTTACTTTTAAAAATCAAATAATGAATCATACAAAGGCCTTCCCATAAAGATGACAGAGTAGATAAACTCTGCTCACCTTTTTCCCATGACTCCATGAAAATTACAATTAAATTGTAAAACAACCATCATTGAGAACCACCTGGAGACTAGCTGAACAAACTTCCTATGACTAAGAATATAAAGAAACCATGATGAGGGCCAGCCGAGTGGCACATTTGTTAGGAGTTGGCTTGGAAGCCAGCTCTGAGCAGCAGGGCCCCAGTTCGGATCCCACATGAGGGCCAGTGACACTGAGCCCTCTACAGCTAAGATGGTGAACAACAGCTCAAACTGGAGCTGGGCTGCTGTGAGTCACCGGCAAAAGCGTAGGCTGCAGTGGGGCTGGCTGGCAGCGGATGTGAGCTTTTGTGAGCTGCTGTGAGCCAGTATGAGTGGCCATCCAATGGACGGCGAGCAACTGCCTCACCAGGAAAGAGCGCAATGATAATACCAACGTGGGCCAGTGAAACGACATCCTCCACAACTAGACTGAAGAACAAAAGAATGGCAACTTGTCTGTTACCCTCCCCCAATTCCCCAATAAAATCTTAAAAAAAGAAAGAAAAGAAACCATGATGAGACTGATAGGAGGGATGGAGATAAGGAATGGGCAGGTCCCACACCCACAGTTTGGGACTTAAGAATTGGGAGGGATATCTTTGCTTGGAGGTCCCCACTGAGGAACACAGGGTCCCAGTCCCACACTGGGCTCCCCAGTGTTGGACACCAATGCCAGGAAGAGGAGTCCTCATAACATCTGGCTGCAGAAACCTGCAGGGATTGCATTCAAGTGAAACAAAGGGCTACTGGAGTCCTAGGTGTTCATTTGAGTGGCACAGTCACAAACTCACTCAATCTGGGCTCAGTACAGGGACAGCACCTCAAAATGCTCCAAGGACATGTGGAGAAGAATTAAATTGTCTACCTTCAGGGTGATGGCTGGAAGGACAGGGGTCATGGCAGCTCTCTCCAGGGTAGCAGGCACCATTGTTCCTTTATTGAGTACTTTTCTCATCTAACAAGCAGACACAGGCAGTCACAAAATCTGTGCTCTCCATTAGTCTGGCTAATATCTTTCACCCCATCCTCGTGATTCCCTTAGACCAGGGGTTGGCAAACTTTTGAGACGGAAGAGCCGCCAGGGGTCAGCAAACTGTGCCTTGTGAACTGTGGCTCTGAAGTAAAATTGAAAATGAAAATAAAACTATCATAGTTTCATTTATAAAA